CGGGTGTGCGGCCGCGCCCTAGGGCCTTCTCGAGCTTGGCGGCCCCTTCCCCTCTCGGCCCCGGTTCCCCCCAGCCCTGCTGAGGGTCCAGGGCGCCCCGCCAAGTGGGGCGGCGATCAGTGGAGACGTAGAACGCTGGTGGCTCACACCAGCGAGGTGACGGCGGGGACCTTGGAACTATCCTCCTCCCAGGGTTGCAGATTCTGCAGAGCAAAGAGCGACGAGTTGTGCAGACAGAGCGGGTCGGGCTGGATGGAGTCGTTGAGGCTCTTTTGGAAGGCGTCGTGTTGCAGCTGCAGCATGAGCCGGCTCGCCTGCTGCCGCTCCGCCTCCCGCTCCTCCGCCGTCTGCCGCCTGCACCGGGGGAGGGAGAGGGACTGCGGGGCCACCGGCGCGGCCCCGGCCCTCCCGGGAGCGGAGGCCAGCCAGGAACCTCGAGGCATAGAGCCCGTCTGCCTCCGGGCTCGATTTACTCCGCAGGCCCGCATGTAGGGAGACTGGACTGGGGCCGTTTGTTTTGTTGTGCACCGCTGGGGCGCCTGGAGGGAACTCGCCCGCCACCCACCTGCACGCTCCGATATTGTGGCTTCGCCAACAATAAAGATTGTTTCTTTCTCGGGATAACGGGGGCAGGGCGTGTGAGTAACTGACTCGGCCCTGCTGGCAGCAGGGTCACTGGGATCCGCGAACGCACGAACTGGCTGTGCACGGCCAGCGCGGCGTCCCAGGGCGGGTCAGTCTGATCCAGTTCTCCCAGGCCCTGCTTGGAAACCCTTTCCTGGGTGCCAGGGCTTCGCTGTTTACCGGTTGGATCGAAAAAAGAGTTTGGATAAAAATGGGACTGGAGTGGGGACTCGAAGCAGGAGAGGGCCGCCAGCCCTCTGGGATAGTCGGAAATCCGAGAGGGAAAAGGAGGGGAGTGGACTAGAATGGGGGAGGCCCGGGTGTGTGTGTGTGTGTGGCGGGGGGCAGGTGAGAGGGACACGAGTGAGTGCCAGAACAAAACACCGAACGATTTGGAGGGACTCAGAGATGCAGATGGAGATGGAAGAGAAGCCAAGGCGTGGAAGAGACGGGAAAGCAACAACCCGAAAGGCGGCCAGGAGGAAATAAAATCCGTTAGGGAGGGGGAGGCGCAGCCCCGGGGAGTTGATAGGGGGTAGCGCGGGTAAGTGGGGAGAGCTAGGCTGCCGCGCGGGGCGGGGCAGGTGCAAGGTGGGCCGGGCCGGGCCTCTCTCACCGCCACTTGGTCCTCCGGTTTTGGAACCAGGTCTTGACCTGCGCGTCCGTCATTTTGAGGGACTTGGCGAGCGCCGCCCTCTCGGCCGAGGCCAGGTACTTCTGGCGATGGAAACGCTTTTCCAGCTCGCAGATCTGCACCCGGGAAAAGGACGTCCGAGGCTTCTTGCGCTTGGGCGGCGTCCGGTTCTGGTAGGGGTGGCCGATGCGCCGTGTCACCGTGAAGGGCGTGAGCGCGGCCGCCGCTGCGGAGACACACGAGGCCCCCTGAAGCCCAGCCTGGCTCGGCCACCGTTAGGCCTCATGTAGACCGGTGGAGCCCCGTGGAACAGAGTACTCCTGTGTTTTGCTGGTCCCACGCGTCCCCAGCAGCACCAAACCAGTCGGGAGACGCCCCCGCCCCCTTCCTCCTTCCCCGGGACGCCAATTTATTTTCCCCGCAACTCTCGGATTCCCCTCCCCTCCAAGGCGGCCTGGGGCCCTGGACACTGAGGCCTCCGCCGCGCTTGGCCTCTGGAATCGTTTCTGGGAGTGGAGCGCATAGGGCGCGGCGCCTCTGGCCCCGAGAGGGCCGAGGCCTGGCGCCTGTTCACCCGTTCTGCTCACCTGTGAAGCGGTCTTTCACAAAGCGGCGGCTGCTCTCCATCCAGGGGAAATTGAGACCACCCAGGCTGGAGACAGTGGGCACGGAGGGCATGGCGGGCAGCGCGCTTGGCAGAGGCGGCGGCACGGCCCCGGGCAGCGGCCTGTGCGCTGGCACCCGGATTACGCCGGCGGGCGCTAGGCTCAGGTTGACACTGTAAGATCCCGCGTCCTCGAAAGGAGCGCCGAGGCCGGCAAAAGAGGCGGGCAAAGACGGGTACGTGGCGCCCGGACGGCCCCCGGGGGGCCCTCCCAGGTAGCTGGTGCCGTCGGGGCCCCGAGGGGCAGGTGCGCTGTCCTGGTCCGGGCTATTGAGGATCTGGTCGATGCCGAAACTGATGGGCTCGTGCGGGTGCGGGGTCTGCGCGCTGGCGGGCGCCTCCATCCTGGGCGGGTGGAAGGGCTGGGCTGGGCTGGGCGGGGAGGCGGCTGGATCCCCGTTACCGCGCGGCCATGGAGCGCCCGGCGCCTCTCGTCGCACTGAAACTTTGCCAAGAGTGCGCGGGCCCGACAGGCTCTGTGTCATCTTTCTTGAACCGAACCTGGAGTTTCCGCTGCTAATTCCTCTCCCGCCGCAGCCATTGGCTGCGATCAACAAGCCTCTCTTCTCTCATTGGCTCCCGGCTTTCAATAAAGGCCTAATTCATGGAAATAGGAGCTTAGGGACTGTTCCAAGGTGACATCATTTTAACAAACGAACAATAGGTCAAATTTATTAGCCGGGATAATGGGCGGCGGATATTAGCGCCCGAACCGCAGCCTCCCAAACCCGAAATCTAACGAAGCTGCAATTAGCAGACGCTCCCCGCTCCTCCGGGCCAGGGCCGCTTCCTGGCTGCCGCCTGCAGCGGGCAGGGCGCTCCGCTAGTGAAATTGTTTTGCCGAGGGGGTTTTCGTTTTCTCCTAAATTTTTTCATCTGAGCAAAACCCAAACCAAATGAATCTTTCCAGTTACAATGGAGTTGCAACCCCGGAACGATCCTGCGACATCTGCGGAAGCCTCTCGGACTCGACCTCCGCGGGAGCAACGAAAGAGGCGCATCCCGGGGCGTAAGCTCCGTGCTCTCTGAGCGCGGGGTGAGGGGAGCACCGTGGCGTTCTCCCGCCACCGAGGACACCGACCCGTGTGGGGAGAATTCGCCCCAGCTGGGGCTTCGGCCGCGGCGTCGCGGCCACTTTGGAGACGCTCCCTGGCTCCGGCCAGGCGGACCGAGGCGTGACTTGCAGGTGCCCACGCGTGCGGGACGGGCTGGGCTAGGGACCCGAGAGCAACCAGTGGGGAGCGGAGATCGGCCGCTCGAAATTCGTTGCAAGGTAGATGGGGCTGTGGTCGCGCGTGGCGACCCGTCCGAGGTTCGGCAGGTTTGGGGACCTCGGATTCCCGAGTGGCAAAGACGGGGGAGGCTCAAATTTAGAGCAAATAGCGGGATTCTTCAGGAAATGCGAGCAGCGAGCCCCACCCGGCTCGGTCCAGCCGAAGCGCGGGGACCACTCCCTGTTCTGTCGGTGCCCCTGGGGGCTGTCCCGCGGGCCAAGGGCACAGTGCACAGAATCGCTCGGGGAGCGACGGTCACCTTCAGCTTCAGCCTCGGGGAGACCTGGAGAGGTGTTTCCTCCAGGCTATTTCTACAATCGTTAGGGCAGACGCTGGGTCCCGCCCCTCTGGCCGGGCCTCTTCTCGGCGCTCTGGGTCTGCGGACAGTGGTGAGAGCTAGCATGTGCAGTTGGCTAGAGCGTGTTCAAATTTGGGTCAGGTCACTTCCTAACTAAGTAACCTTGAGCAAGTGACTCCTTTTTTTTTTTTTTGAAATGGGAAATAATACGCGCATCAACAGATGTTCATGAGCCGTGAGCAAGATGTTGACGGAGTGCAGAGCCCGGGTGCTGGCCCAGAGTGGGCACTGGGCAGCCGCCACTTTGCTCCCAAACCTCCTCCCAGCGTGATGGTTGATATATTAGGGCCCTTGTTTATTTTGTTCATAGTTTTCTTTTATTTGCAGAGGTTCAGTATCTTGGAGAGAAAGATGAATTTGCCTACTAGTGGGGTCAGTTTCAGAAGACAGGGGCAGAACAAGAGGCTGTAGGTTGGGGACTCCTTATCTCTGCTCCTCAAAATCCAGGGGTGCGGGCCGGTTTCAGCATTTGCCTGCAGTCCCCTGGCCTGGGTCTGGAGTTAGGTCATTAGCCCGCTGTGTGACCTTGGGCAAGTTGCTGGCCTTTGCAGAATCTGTGTTGGGTGGAGACTGTAAGACCTGGAAACAGTGAGAGCAGGATGCCTGGGGGGCTTGGCAAGGGCCCCTCACCCGCTTCCTGGGACAAGCACCCTCAGATAGGATCTGTATCATTGCTCTGGCTCTGGGGGGGTGGGGCCTTGGGCTTCTAATTCAGGCACTGCTACTGGCAGTCTGGGGGCTGTTGGGTCCCTCACTGCTCCTCTTGGAGCCTTATTTTCCTTATTTGTAAAGCAGAAAGGGCATTGGCTACCCCCAGAGTGGCTGTGAGGACTAAATGAGAGAACATCTATGGAACAGGCTGTGGAAAACTCTGGCGATTATATAATACCTTTCATGGCAAGCAACTGTCCTTGGGAACTCAGACCGTGCCAGATGCCCAGTGGACCTTGTTTTTCACAGATTCCTGTGAGGTAGGGGGGCTATGGATCCCAGGTTTTGACTGGTGAGGGAACTGAGGCTCAGAGTTTGCGTGAGGGACCCACCTGGGGACTGCAGTTGGTCCCTCACCAGCTCCATCTCCCTGCTGGCCTCCAGAGCCCTGCTCCTGCCATGTCTGTGCACCATTAAAACAGGGTAACAAGGCCCACCCCACAGAGGCCTGAGGCACAGAATTAGGGAGGTGAGGGCGGAGTGGCCAGCATTGCTCCCCCGGCACCTGATTAAGAACTAGATTCCCTGTCCCTTCACCAGCTGGGGACTCGAAAGTCTTCATCTTCTGTGTGCCTGTTTCCTCATCTAGTAGAGAAACAGTACCAACCCCATGGCTGCAGCGAGCTGGTGGGGGCACAGGTCCCAATCACAGTGCCAGCGTGGATCAGGGCTCTGTCTCAGTGATTGGGCCCCAGCTTCCTGAGGCCCCTTGTTCTCAGTCATCCAACCACAGGAACTTTGGGCCACTGATCACAAACCTCTCATTCCTAGGACAGAAGCTGCGATTAGGTGGCTCAGGAAGGCCATTAAGTTGGGGAAGGCAGAGGTCTGGGGCAGTGGTTCTCGAAGTGAGTTCTGCATCACCGGGGAGTTTGTTAGACATCAGAAACCCTGGGGCAGGCCTCTGTGGTTAACAAGCCCTCCAGGTGATTCTGATGTCTGCTCAAGTTTGGAAACCAATGCCCAGAATATTGTCCATCTCATCCAAGTTTTCAAATTTATTCTTCTGACAGATGGAAGTCTTGTGTAACTTGAAACTCTCACTTGAATCTGTACTGATATCCTCCACTTTTCATCCTGAGTTGCTCATTGAGCCTCCCCTTGATCACCTTGCCAAAGCTTTGTCTATTTTATTGGTCTTAAAAAAAAATGCCCTTGATTTCATTATCCTCTATTTTGTGTCATCTCTCATGAGTGTTTTTTTCAAATTAAGTTATTACTTTGAAGTGGGAATTTAATTTATGTTGCCATTTTTCTTTTTTAAAATAAATTCATCAAAATCTATGCATTTTCCTATCAGCAGTGTCTTGACCAAATATATTGCGATATGATGTGATAGACATGGTGGTGCGTGCTGTAATCCCAGAGACTGGGGAGACAGAGGCGGGAGGAGTTCAAAGCCAGCTTTAGCAATTTAGTGAGACCCTAAGCAACTTAGTGAGACCCTGTCTCAAAAGAAAAAAAGGCCAAGGGCGGGTGGCTGAGGGGACAGACCGAGAATGTAGCTCAGTGGATTTAATTCCCAGTACCAGGAAAAAAAAAAAAAGGTTTTCATATGTATTTGGTGTCTCTGATACTGTAATTTTTGCAGCCCTTTATCCCTGCTATCAGTTGTACAATGAGAAGGACATACATACACTGAAGGAGAGATTGGAAATGCAAATTCCAAAAATTAAGGAAATGGGGGCAAGGACTGCTGGGGATGCAGAGGCTCCTAGGCCACAGCATGTCTGGTCTGCGGCTAGTCCCTTCAGGGAGTCCTGTAGGAGAGGGCAGGGCTTCTGGGATGAGAGGCAAGATGCTGGAATTTCCCACAGGTCTGTGAGCCAGGACACAGAAGACCCGGGTTTCTCCAGGTTAACTCCGGCACTGACTCGTGTGTGAACTGGGATTCAATTGCCCTGTCTGTAAAATGGGGTAGAGATTGAATTAGGACTAAGTGCATTTGGGTCGTCTACCCTGTTTGAAAGATTGATGAGAAGACACCGGCATACCCGCCATGTCTGCGTAGCCTAGGTGGGAGGCCTGTGGGCCTCCAGCTGTCCTCATGGAGGCTCTGAGGACACCTGCCCCAATCCATTCACCCACTCATTCACTCATTTAGTCACTCTCCAAATATTTATTTATGGAGCACCTGCTGGAATGTCCTGGACCATGTCCCAACCTGGGGACTCCCCTGTTGATGGTGGGAGCAGTGCAGCTCGAGCCTCTCATCACAGTCTGTCCCAACAGGAGGACTTGGGGGACAAAGTTTCTGAGGAGTTCTCAAGCGCACAACACTCTAAGTGGGAGGGAAGAACAAGCCATCAGGTGCTGGGTGCTGCTTGGACTCCCAGTGCAGGTCACAGGCTTCAAGGATGATTGTCTTAGGGGAGTGAAGTGTTGGAGCTGGGATTTGAACCCTGGATTGTCTGGACTTCACGGCCCACTTCCCTTTGCCTCATTTCTACTCTGGAGTAGATAGTGAAGTTTCTAAGTCATGGGGCCAAGTGGGGAGGTGGGTAAAGGAGCCCAGGAGTGGGGGTGAGGGCTGGCCACCTGGAAGTCTGTCATCTCCCTGCTGGCTTAGGGGTTCCTTAGGGCAGAAGGGTGTTGGTGGCATTGGATTCCATGTCCTGTGGCTAGGTCCAGTGCCTGGCCCACTGGAGGGTCACCATTAAGAGTTTGGTGTTAAACCGGACAGCTCGTGGCCAGGGTGGAAGAGGTGGAAGGAGAAAGGGTCAGGTTTGGGTGGAGGAATTGGTGTGTGCTCATTTTGGCTTTTCTCATGGCTGGTGCCTTTGTACCCTCCTGCAAGACCCCAACCAGACACCACCTCTCTGCGGGTCCTCCAAAGCCAAGCACCCCAAGTCCATCTCCACCATGGCCCTGGCTGCTACCAGTACTGAGCTTGCTGGGTGTCCTGCTCACTAGCTGAGGGCAGAGGCTGGGTCTCCTTCTCTGATTTATCTCTCTGGGTGACTGAATGAGTCCAGGACCTGAATGACTTCCAGGTCCCTGGGCTGGCTTTGAGGGGGTCATGCCTGGCCTGGAGGCTGGCAGTGGCATGACTGGCCCACTGGTCGGAAGGCTGGGTCAGACCAAGGTGAAGGGCAGGAGGGGGAGGGAGGAGGGACCCCCTCCCACACGTGGGGCTGCTGGGGGTGCAGAGGACATTCGAGCAGCCACAGTCAGTGCAGTGTGCTGAGGACTAGGCAGTCCCCGTGGACAGTGGACAAGCACTTGTGTGGCTTTCCGGGGACCTCCAACTTGACTTGATCTCCCACGGTTCCTTCCCCCACCCATCAGCCATTTTCCCCATTTTGTGCTATATGACTCTCCTTCCTTCCTGACAGATTTCTCTACTAAATTTGACTTCGTTTCAACACTTTTGTTGGGAAAA